TGTTATGTGATGGCTCCTTGGAAAAGCAGTGTGGCAAAAGAGTACGTATGAAAATCCTCCTTAAGTTTCCTCTGAAAAAACCACTGCTCAGTCACAATTTGCTTAATGCAATTCTCCATGCAAGCAACTAAGGACGTATTTCTCCCAGCTGTGAATCACACCACAAATATAACTCTCAGCACCCATTATGTGTCATCATTTCTGACCCATCTTCGGTGCTGCTACATTTTAAATAGTAAAGATCAAAATTTCAGTTGTCAAAGACTCATCTGCCACATCTGAGTGCCCTGTGTGCCATAGTGGCTCCTGCTGCCTCCAAGGACCAGGCATGCCAGTGGGGCTGGCAGCTCCCAGCACAGCTCCTGGAGATGAGGCTGTGTTTGAAAGGATTCCCTCTGCCCCACACATGAAATGCCTTAGCCTCAGTGTTCTATACACCAGCTATAAATCTGCTTTTTTTTTCCAAGAGATTTTCCTCATATTCATAGCTGTCAATCTCACAAACAGGATGTGAAAAACATGAAGCTGTCAGCCCTAAGCCTTACTACGTTTTCTTTCCTTATTTCCAGTGAGATAATGTAAGCAGTTATATAGCATTCTGTTTTCTTTTCTTGTGGCCATATCATCAAGGAAACCTCACTGACTCATTGCTCTAGATTCTCACCAAAATTTCCACCGTTTATAAAGAGAGCTCAGTTCCTCAGAGCTGTCTTAAGCCTTGGTCTTATGGCTCCATCAGATGGTGTAAACTTCAAAGCATAAACCTATATTAAAATACAACTACTAGTTCAGCAGTGCAAAGAGGGTTTTGATCACTTCCAGAGCATTAAGCTACCGAAGCAGTATTTGCACCAGCCACTAAAAGTATGTTTACAGCAGCAATGTTTCTCATCACATGGCACACATGTGCCTTCTGGGCTTACTTGGTGTTTACCCTGACTGTTTAAAAGAAATGTTCACAAATCAGCAGGGCTAATTCATGCCACTCCATGACATCTGGAAAAGTTACCTTTTCCCTGTGCTGCCTGTCATTTTCCCCACCCTCCTTGTTTTTCCTGCTTTTCTATAAGCACTCCACTCTGAATTTCTTCTTGAAATAGTCAAATGTTCAGGGTTTTTTAAAGTATTTTCAGTGGTTTTACTTAAAAACACAAAGCAGTAAAACAACGCGTAGGTTCAGATTTTGATACCAGTTATTTTATGCCAGCAGGAAAGCAAGTTCAGAACTGAAAAGTCAAATTCATCAAGCAGAACCCCTTGATGGATGGTGATTTACCCACATAAGAATAATTGCACAGTTAGAGACTGAAAGGTTTATGCAGATTTAACCCTAACTAGCAGCTGAACAACTGGTTCACTAAAATAATACTAAATCTTCATTACTCAACAAAAATATAACCAACAGTTGAGGAATTTAGAGCAGGCAGCTTACACATCAGAAACTAATGAGATAATTATGCCAAGGCAGACTTGGTTCAAAAGTCTTGAGCATTTCTAACTGATTTACACACACATTTTGTGTCCTCCTTGGCTCCAATATTTGCATTAGCAAATTCCCTGGCATCAAGTAAACACACATTTCTGAGTCACCACTGAAATAAAGACTAAAACTGTGCAGCTAAGTATTGAATTTTCATTCAGCCAACACCATTCAAAACTACTCGTGTAATCATTATGAGCAGAAAAATTTTGAGTGCCCAAAAATCCTGCATAAAAACTGGAAAATTACAATCATAATTTATCTGATTAAAGCTGCCATTTGCAGCAATTTTGCAAGGCACAAAACTTCAGAGTTGAAGCACTATGTAATTAAAATTGTTAATTGCAAAAAATGGGCCACTGTTAAGGCTATAATTTAACCAGGTTCTCTTTATTTGATCATCTGATTTTAAAGGTTAATGCAGTGACCTAGGAAGTCAGTGTGCCCATTTTAATTGTGCTGGCATTTTGACCAAACACCACTTTAAGGGAAATATGGGAGGAAAAAATCAGAGCTGGCTTTGCAAGCCACTTCTGCCTTCATAAAACGTTCACAGTGAGAACGCACAACCCCAAAATCAGCTGACTTTATTAAAATATTAACAAGGTATAGTTAAAACTTTTGTACACTTATGCAAATCAGGTCGCTAGAACAAGGGAAAGAAGAGATTCCCCTGGGAGGGAAAAAAAAAAAATAAAATCAACAAAGTGAAAAGATCAGCCATCCTTCCACAGCATGACAGCACAACACAAGAGGCAGCAGCTTGGGAATTCAGCAAGATAAATAAAAACCCTCCAAAGTTTAAGTAAATCATGGTTTATAAAGCTAATAGATTTAAATGAGGCATATGGTACCATTCCAGAAAAAGACTGCATTTCCCTGGGGATGGGAGCAGTGTTTTGGTGGCCCTGCTACACAGGTGAGATATGTGTGAGGAGGCCAACCAGGGTGGGCACCTACCTCCCTGCCAGCTCTTTGGAAGGGCAGGCTCTGGTGCTCCATTCCCATGATGCTGGGGAGGTTTCAGTATCTATGTGGGTTTAGGTCTTAAGGTATCAGTGTGATTTACACCCTACCCTCCCTGGCATGGCTCCAAGGTGGCCCCTGGGGGTTAGGGGATTAAGAGCAGCTGCAGCAGCACACTTATGTTAGGGTCTAGCTCCTCCAAAAGATTTGCTGCACCTGGGAATGGGTGTGGGCCAAGCACTGGCATTGTGGAGACTACAACTGCTGTGGCTGTGGCCCCCAGTGCTGCCAGGGTAACTGGTGTGTAAGGCCTGGTTTGCAGAACCTGCAGCTTGTTAAGGTGCTGGTGCCTTGGTGGAGCCTGTAATTAAACATCCTGTGGAGCTGCACCCATGCTTTGCTCTCATACCTCGGGAGGGAAAAATCCTTTACTTCTGACTTAACATTGAGGAAGGGGATGGGGCAGCTACCATTTGCTTAGTCTTTGTATGTTAATCAGTCCCTAAATTATTAATAGAGAAAAAGAAATTATTTACAAGGTGTTTGACGTAGACATGTAAGGATGTAGCAACACTACTGTCAAGAGAAATACTCATAAATCATGATATCTGTCTTGTCTTATTTATTTATTTATTCCAGCCATGCTCAGAGACCCCTTTCTCCTCAAGGCACCCAGAGAGACAGGAGGAGACTGAGAGACTGTTTAAGGGCAGAAGAGACCATACCAAGGTTAGGCACCTTTTCTAAATGCTGCACAAGGGTGATGGTTGCACAGAGAAATCAACAGCTTTAGCTTTGCTTTTACTCCTGTTGTAAACATACCTGAAGCTCTGTTTGAAAGAAGAACTTCTGTGGGCACTGGGAACAGTCATAAATTTTGTCTTCCTGCCCATGAACTGCAAAGATGTGCTGCTGCAGTTTGTTTGCCTGTACAAAAACTGAAACAACATAGTATGATTAGTTAAGATTGCATCGTGTAAGGCAGCTCATCTTGAACTACACTTCAGAGTCTCTGCAACAGTAAAAAAGTCCAAGGATATCTGCCAGGGAAGTGCCAATGCACTCAGTTCAGCAGAATTTCCTTACAAGTAGTCAATTTAGAGTCTCCAGGCTGACAGTCAGCTCACTTCTAACAGACTCTGTATCCTGTATGGATTTTTGATATTTCACATAAAGCTAACACTGTCCACAGGTAACTGGAAGAGCTCAGTCATCAGACCAAAGAGAGGACACGTCACAGCTCCCGCAGGGAGCCCTGGGCCCACGGCAGGTGCATCAGATGCATTTTTAATGCAGGACAACTGGGCCAGGAGAAGCCTTGATGGCTGGTCTGGAAGACTCATGGCCCAAAACAGCATTTCTGGCAGACATGTGAATCTGAAAGGGCAGGTTTGCCACAATTGTTAGACCTTTGTCCATTCAGTATTAAAAAAAATAAAAATATTATGATTTAACATCACAAATATCGCAGCATCTGCATTGTGATTCTGAATTGACAATTATTCTGGATTTAGCAAGGGAAATTTGGAAATGGAACGTATTGAACCACAGCTTTAGATGGTTAAAAGATATATCTCATTCAATTTTTGTCTCACTTTATATGGATGATCATCTGTTTGTGAAAATAGCTTCTGCAGCAGAATTTAACACAAGCACCCAAAGAGGTTTTTTACAGCACATTTCAGGAAAGGATAAATTAACTCCAAGCTCACAAAAAAAAAACACCCCAGGTTCTCAAATTGTGGGCTAACCCTTAAAGAGCCTTAGTCCCACCAAAGTTAAAGGAATTGTGGGTGCTGCTGTGACTCTTTACTGACTGACAACAGTCCACAGTGACACCTAAGTGATCCTCATCTCTCATACACTGGAAATGCAGATGTTAACTACAGTTTTGAAGAGAGTATAAAATGCATCCTTTGGCATGCACCCTGCAGGTCCCTGAAAAGCAAGACCACCCATGATCATTTGCACTGATGAAACAGCTTAAATGATCTATAGGGAAGGAATATCTACCAGTCTCTCAGACAGGAGTTCAAAATGTGCCACCATAAGAATACTGGGCTTAAAGAATGCAGCTGGCAAAACCATACAGTGATACAGTTTGGTCTTATCAAACCTTTATTCCTGTGAGCCTCAGCACTGTGAGTGGACCATGAGCCACTTGGCCTTCAAAGGATCCTTGCTCAGGTGAATAAGGGCTTGCCAAAGCAGGTCCATACCTTGCAAGTCCTGCACTTGGAAACACACAGCACCTCCAAGCCACAAGGCATAATGTAAAAGGCTTTGAATTGTGGGGGGCCATGCAGAGCCCACTGCACGTGGCAGTGCTGCTCGGCAGAGCGAGCCCCAGCTTCAGACAGACAGTATTTGAACATCTCCAAGCACAGCATTTCTTTTTTCTCCCAAGGAAAAGAATACAGTATTTTACAAATCCCCCGAGTGTCATTTCTGGATCTAGCCATGCACGCTGAGGCTTGTCTTGGCCTCCCTGTCTTACCTGTGAAACAAACAGGGCATTTGAATGTGCCTCCCATCCCCTCAAAGCTGTGCTCAATCAGGTGACACAGGAGCTTTGCCGGAGAGTCAAACATCTGGTTACACAGCTTGCACTCATGATTGATGCCTTCCTCTGCAAGGTTCAAATGATACAACTTGTTAGTGACACAGCAGATTAGCGTCGGGGATGCAGCAGCAGGCGGTGAGGAACGGCTGTGCAGGCACACACAGGGACCCACAGCACTGCCCCAGCCCTGGGCTCAGCAAAGCCTTGGGGTACAGCCCCAGCCACGTTTAGGGGTGCTGATTTCCAGCTGCCATGAAGGGAGCTCTGTCCCAGCCCTCCAGGAACCCTCGCGCCTCTCCCGACAACGCGGCACCCTCCACCTCGTGTCCTGTCACACAGGGACAGCAACCCTGCCCTAGGGACAGATTATTATACAGTCAATAATTTAAAATTACTTCGGTAGTGTGAATTCAACCACCACCACTGAGAGAAGGCTGAAATGTTGTCTTCACCACACTGCAAACACACAGCAGAGGAAGGAACTATTGGAGAAGAGCAGGAGTCAGCCTTAATTTTATGTCTTTTGCCTTTTTCCAAGGTGAAGAGAGACTATTGAAGGTATTTAAAAGTAATTTGAAAGCATAATTTCCATGTCATGTATCGTAAATATTGAATACACAGGGTCCATTTTAAATACTCCTATAGTCTTACTGAACTCAGAGGGAAATATCAGTAATTATTACTCTTGGTTCAAGCCTATCACTTTTGTAAGAGGATATACTTCTCTGTTTCCTGAAGTTTGTGGTTCTGCATACAGCTGAGCCTTTTTTTTTTGATGTACTGAAGCCATATTAAAGCAATTTCCACACATAAAACTAAACAACCCCTTGGTTTTCTCGAAGGGAGGGAGTTACAGAAATTCAGACAACATACAGCTTATATAAATCAGAAGACACTTAAAATTTTGAAGAATCGTGGATGGTTTCTGCAAATACTTCCTGAAAATGTGTCTTTCCTTCACCGTGGCAGCACATGAACTTCTCATAAAAACGTATTGTAGAAACTGAATAAATTCTATCTTTTGTTGTATACTCAGCTTTATTTTTATATCTCCAAATATCACCAACTTCAATTTTTAGTGCCAAGACAGCTAACAAATGACTATGTTATACCATGAACTAATCTCTTGCCAAATATATTTGGATCTTGTGAATAAGGTGAGCCTTCAGAAGCACAGCCTTTACTTACAGCTGCTTTAAATCAGTTTTCTCTGTCTTTAAAGGGGCTAAACAAAAGGAGATTATTGTTTTCTCTAACACTTTTGGTACTCTCAGGAGCCCAAAGCCCTTGTACAGGACAGGCAAACAGTGGGTGCAGGACACTGGGCACAGCCTGGTGGCTCCCACACATTGCACCTCAACATGTTTGCAGCTGGAGGCAAATCCCAGAGCACGTGGACCTCAAAGGGCTCTCTGTGCAGTGTGAAAAATACCAATAAAAAAAGTCTCCATGCAGCAACTTGTGCAGCAGCATGTGCCAGTGGAGAGCTGCCTGTGCTTCCTCAAGGCCAAGTGAGCTCTGGAAACCTTTGTGGCATTGGGTGCTCTGCCCTGCACAGACTCAGGGGGAGAGCAGAGTGCTCCTAGGGAGTGGAGTGGGGAAGGAGGAGGCAGGATGGGGAGAAGTAAACAGGTGGGTTGGGAAGAAGATAAAAAGAGAAAAGGAAAGGGAGGACAGAGTCAGGAACAGAAAGATGAAAGGGCTGGTAGCTCCACAGCAGCAGCAATATGAATTCCCTGGGAAGCCATAAGCAGGGACTGGGATATTTCTAGGATGCCACAAGGTTTGCAGTGCTCTGTCTGGGCAGGCACCACAGATGGGCATGATGCCCTCTCAGATGGATGGGTTTCTAAACCTGGCCCTCTCCCCTCAGACCCTTGCCTGAAAAGTTTTGGCTTTGTGCATTCTTTGCAATCTGCTCCAGAGGGGAGGAAAGATGGGGAAGGGACATGTGCCTCATGCTGAGCATGCCCAGCCACACTGCTGTGTACAGCAACCAAACGCTGCAATAAACCTGCAGAGGACAAAGCAGGTACTGGGGGGAGTGCAATGAATTCCTTCTACGAGTAAATCAGAGAAATCATGTTTGACATTAATTTTCTAGCCTCTACATACTGGGTGTTTGGAAAACAATGATTCATGTACATGTGGTCTACGGTGCTATGGTCCTGCGTGAGCACATGGGTTCATAAATACAGACAGACACATCCTGACGACTAGACAGATGCTCCTTTCACAGCTTAAATACCTATAATTTGAGTAAAATTACAAAAAACCAAACAAACCCAACAATGCATAGCATTTCAATTTAAGTATATTCTTACAAGCTTGGTATGTTTAATTAGGTAACAGAGATTGTGTATTTTCTTGGTTGATCCCTGCAGTATTTTAAATAGTTAAACCCATAACAAACAAACTAAAACTCGAATGAAAAATAATAAAACATAATGGGTTCCTGCAGATCTGGAAATTTATCCCACTCGAGGCAAGACCTTTTGATTTGCAAATCCACTTCTGAATTATAAGGCCTTCTCCTCACCGGTGGGGGTTTTTATTCCACTCCCACAGGAGTCCATTATGTATTTCTTGTGTCTATAAAACCATCCAGAAAGAAAAAAGGGGGGAAAAAGTACCATGGTTAGCATGACAAACGTTTCTCTTTTCATGCACGTGTATTCAAAATATGAAAATGCCCAAAGATATAGATAGAATTGCAGCTATAATCACTCTCTCCTCTATGGCATTTTACAGCATATTATTTTACACAGGAACACGGTGCAAGTATAGGGATACTCAGTCTCCTTTGGAGAATAACTTCCTTGAATTATACAAGATCATATAGGTCCATGCAAGGAGGCTCTTTGACAATGTGGCGTGACAGCCAATGCTCCAGTCAAATTGTTGTGCTGGGCGTTAGCAACGGAAAACATATCATCATTTCCCTCATTCTTATTCGCCTTTTTTTTTTTAAAGCATGACAAGCATCTATGAGAGACCTACATAACTCAAGTGAATTATGCAGCCCCTCTCATTTGTAAAATAAAATGCAGATTTTTACAGCTTGTTATGCTAGATCTTCTCCCATTTCTTCGCAAGTGTATCTGTGTGGGGATCAATTGATTCCGAGACTAAACGAGTAATGCATAGAAAACAAGAATCTTGGGTTTCTTGCCCACTTTTTTTTTTTTTTGCTGAGCACAAAATAATAAGCATTAATTTTACACTTCATTTCTCAAAAAAATAATAGGATGTGCTCTTGTTTAAAACAAGCAGGCCTGCTGGATTCTGTCAGGCTGAAACTATGTCAGGCCAAAAGAGGAACAGAGCGCTTTGTGTAAAAGTATCATGGGGAGATGATAGTATCCTGTAATGTTTTCAGTACCTACTTTTGTCTCCAAAAGCATTTGATCCCTGGCAGACACATACTTATTTCCATACTGGTCTTGAGGGAAGCCAGTAGGAATGAGAGCTGATTATCTGAATCCTGAAGGTGAAACCTGGGTGGTGCCCACTGATGTCAAAGGCAGGCATTTGTATAAATTTGGAGGTACATAATTTACTGCCTGTTAGTGAGGATTAGTGGGTTGTGCAGACCCAGCTGAACTGTGGTGGCAAAGCACGTCGCTCATTGTTCCCAAGTTTGGATGCGCTTGCAGGATAGTTTTAAATATGTTGATAGGGTGCTTAGTAGCACTTACACTGTCATTCTGCCCATTTTAGAGTGGGAATATGCTTCTCCATAAAGCTATTTCTGCTGCAGCAATGTGCATTTAATACATATTACAATAAGTCTCTAAGCCTCTAAGAGAACCGACACCAGCAGCCTCCTGGCGAGGATGCAGTATAATTAATAATGCTGTATTAAACCCATGTACTGTATCAGCTGCATTTCTAATTATAACTATATTAATGGCAATATAAAAGTACACATTAACACTGTCGTGTACTGACACGTTATCACACCGACAACAATTAGGAGATTCGAACAAGAAAAATCAGGATGACATTGTCTTTCCTGTTAGTTAAAACTTCTCTCTTCAACTTGATTTAATAAAGCAAAATTTTCCCTTATGGAATAACAGCAATAGTCCTAATTTGAGAGACTGTGCAAGACAATTTGATGTTTATTCCTGACAACAACATGTACATCCCAAACTATACCTTCCCAGGCCAGCACATTTCTACTCCGCTGCAGTAAATTAAGGCAATAAAAAGGAATTCCTTTCCTGTACTCAGATGTTCACATCCATGAGTTAACTGTGCCTTTAATGAACTTTGAAACACTGTGATTCAGGGTAACAAAGCATTAATATACTGTGTTCACAGAGAACCTTCTCCTGTCCATTAGATCATAAATTTGATAGAATTAAATGGGCCATGTGCTCTAATTATAATAGAAATAAATAGAAATTGGAATGAACACAGGGAAATAAAATGAAAACTGCATGGAACTATTCTGTTTATGCAATTCATTTCCCAGTAAATAAGTAATCAAAGGGAAAAATTTATAACATAAGAAAAGCAGGAGCTTCCCAGTAATTTTTTCCATGTGACTGTGAAGGAGCAAGGGGCTGGAACCAGGGTAGGATGACAGTGATGGACACCCCTGTCCAAAACAAAGCCTGCAGAGAACCACTTCAACCCCTCGCCTGGCTGGCACCACTCCACCACCGGTTTTCATTAAAAACAACCCAACAATGGAGGTAAACCCAAGGTCTGAGAACACGCCGTGACAGCTACCACGGGATGGCAAATTTGCAGATGCTCACACCGGCCGAAGACGATGTCTGCTGTACAGATGACATTTCTTCACCGCCATTGCCGTCTAAGCCCATGACCCTCTATACAACCCATTTGGACCACATTGCTCCATTCCATTTTTGTAATTAATCCCGGAGGACGCAGCCAACCCCTCCCTCGCCGGTGGGGCAGCTGCAGGGCGAGGAGCCCCCGCGCTCCTGCCCGGCCGGCGCAGAGCCCCAGCCATTAGGCAGCCTGGGCGGTGAAAGGCAGCGGATTGATGGTGTGGCAGCAG